ACCCAGCGGTGTCCATCAGTAGTGTACACATAACGATGGAGCACATTGTTATCGAGCTTAAATTGCCGTAGTTGTCGGCGCAATCTAGCATTAGGAGTAGATGATATACTATTTAGGCGTTGAATAATGCTATTGCAATATGGATTGTAACGCTGGCGTGTGGCGAACTCGGTGTAGCGATTTGAAGCCGGCGTGTCGATAACCGCAAGGTGTGATAATGTGAGAGGTGACGCAGTGTTTTGCCCACCAGACGAGCAATCACCTGACGTACTCGATGGTGACAGTGGAAGGGGGCAGCGAGAGAGAGCATCTGCATCTCGGTGTCTTTTGCCAGACTTATAGATGACGTCAAAATCGTACTCTTGTAGGCGGAGCACCCAACGACCGAGGCGACCACACAAGCTTTTCAGTGACGATAGCCAGCACAAGGCGTGATGGTCTTATAATAACTGTGAAGTGGCGTCCGTAAAGATATGGTCGAAATTTTTGTATGGCCCAGACGACAGCAAGGCACTCCTGCTCAGTTATGGAGTAGTTTTGCTCGGCAGCCGTAAGAGCACGACTAGCACACGCAACAACTCTTTCCCGTGAAGTGGCATCCCGCTGTAGAAGAACTGCACCAATGCCTTGGCCACTCGCGTCGGTGTGGAGACATGTAGGTGCGTTCTCGTCGAAATGACACAGAACAGGGTCTGATGTTAAAGCATGCTTTAGGGCTTGAAAGGCACGCTCGCAGTCGTCGTTCCAAGCGAAATTTGATCCGGATGTCAGTAGCTTATGCAGTGGCGACCCGATGTCAGCAAAATGGCTAATGAAGCGGCGGAAGTAGGACGCCAGGTCAAGGAAACTTCGTAGGTGTTTCTGATTTTCTGGCCAAGGGAAGCGTATCACGGCAGCAAGCTTGTCAGGATCCGGGCGAACGTCATCTTTGCTGACAAGGTGGCCCAACACCTTGATGTTCTTGTTGGCGAAGTGGCATTTCTTGGTGTTTAGCTGAAATCCAGCATTAAAAATACACGTCAGAACTTCGTCTAAACGATCAAGATGCTGACGAAAAGAAGAGGAGAAAATGACGATGTCATATAGATAACAGAGACATGTTTTCCATTTTAGGCCGCGTAGAACTGTGTCAATCATGCGTTCAAATGTGGCAGGAGCATTACATAAACCGAATGGCATCACCTTGAATTCATACAGCCCGTCTGGTGTTCCAAAGGCAGTTTTTTCTTTGTCCGCTTCGTGCATAGGTATTTGCCAATAACCAGACCGTAGATCGAGGCTGGAGAAAAATTCAGTGCTTTGCAGAGAGTCAGGTGCGTCGTCGACTCGTGGGATCGGGTACACGTCTTTGCGCGTGATCTTATTAAGTGCTCGATAATCGATGCAGAATCGCACCGAACCATCCTTCTTTCGGACTAGCACTACAGGTGATGACCACAGGCTGGACGAAGGCCGGATAACATCTCGTTTGAGCATATTAGCAATGTTGTTCTCTATTATTTTCCGCCCTGCGGATTACACTCGATATGGGCGGCAGCGTACAATTGTATTGCCTTCCGTTTCAATTCGATGTACGGCGACGGAAGTGCGACCCAAAAGCTTGGCATTGACATCAAATGAAGCACTGTGTTTTTGAAGGATACCCAAAAGTTCTTGCTTTTGCGCTGACGTGAGATCGGGATTTATTGTGGCTGTTAAAGCAGCCGTTGTAGCATCGTCATCATTACTCGTAGAGAAAGATGGCGCATCTGTGTGAAGGGGCACCAAAGAAAGTGGTTCGGTATGTGTGAAGCAAACCACACTGGTGCCCTGGAGCAGTGCAACAGGCAAAGAAGTAGGGTTAACCGCCGTAACTAATGCTCTGCCATCATGAAAGCACACCAGACTAGGAGCGATGATAAGCCCACCAGAGATGTAGCGTCCACACGGTGCCAGGAACACATCACCAGTACTGATCTTATCTGATGTCAGGGTCAGAATATGCTCATTACCTGGAGGAATAAAACAGTCATCAGCGGTGACGAAGCGCTGGTTATGAGCATCTTTATCGGACGAAAGCGCAGTATCTGACATGCGAATGACCCTCTGACGGCAAGATATCACGGCTGGAGTTGAGGAGAGAAAGTCCCACCCTAAAATGAGCGCATTAGTACACGATGACAGAACGAAGAACTGTATATGGTGAAGGATGCCCTCAATGAAAACTCGTGCTGTGCAAACACCAGAAGGCTGAACGAAAACCGCATTAGCACAGCGAAGGGGACGGCCATCATACGGTGTCTTCACTTTGCGCAAACGGGAACACAAGTCCACACTAATAACTGAGAGCGATGCACCTGTGTCCACTAAGGCTTCAGTCCATATACCCTCAACACACACTGAAAGAACATTTGAAGGGCGTACCGGAGGAGTTCGATGCAGTCCGCCAAATGCAGCTTTCCCTCCTGAAGCTGCACTGTTTAGTTTTCCAAGCGATGATCAGACGCCGTGGTAGCCAGACGAAGTGGTGACGAGGAACGGCGCATAGGTGACGGGGAACGACGGCGTGAGGAGCGGAATGTACTGGCTGCATCAAAGTGCTGTGGAGATGGTGAGCGGCGTTGGTACAGTTGGTATGGGTGGCGATGTTGTGGAGCAGGGGCAAACTCATCCCTCTCGTAGTCACTATAGCCCCGCTTTTCGTCTTGTTGACGTCGACGACAGAATCCTGAGATGTGGCCACGTATTCCGCAATAATAGCAAATCGGTCGAGATGGACGCCAGGCATGGAAAGAAGGGGGCGGTTCCCTTGGGGCGAGGACATTTAGGGAGGGCTGCGTAGTTGACACGTACTGTGTTGATTGCTGAGAAGGTGACGCTGCAACCACCTGAGCGTACGTCGGCTTTGGAGTGGTATGCGAGCTCGGGACTTGCTCACACGTCATGGATGTCAGTTCCTTCCTGACGATGTTGCGGAGGCTGCCTGCAGAAGGTGTTATGCGGAGCTCACAAGATGACGAGGTGACCTGGAGTTGCAGCTCCTCGCGAATCATAGACTGTATCAACGCACGGAGCTCATTGTCATGCGTTGGCCTGAGATCTCCTGTGTCAGGTTGTAAACGTATAAGTTGAAGGTCGTCGAGTCGCTGACACGTACTGATGATATTCACGACCGTGGTGGGGTTCCTTGCCGCCAGAGCGTTAAATGCGACGGCGTCTATGCCCTTCAGCAAATGGCGAACGCGGTCATGCTCCGCCATCGAGCTGTCCACGCGACGGCATAGGGCGAGGACATCTTCAATATACGATGTATAGGACTCGCCGGAGTGCTGGACACGTTCAGCAAGCTTCCGTTTGGCGATGTCTGCACGTACAGAAGGGTTGGCAAATATCTGACGGAGCTGCTGCTTAAAGGTAGGCCAGTCTGGGAAATCCAGCTGATGGTTGAGAAACCATGTCTTAGCGACCCCCGTCAGATAGAACGGCACGCGGGACAGCTTCACAGAATCATGCCAATAGTTAAGCGCACTCACACGGTCGTACTACACCAACGTCTTCAACGTCTTCAACGCGAAGGCCAGCGAACATCTGGGGATCTTTTTGAGAAGCGGTGACAGTCCATGAAGGCATGCCCAGGGGTGGATGGAGCCGTGTTGTTGTTTTGCTCGTCTTGCGACACGACCGTGGGCTGACTGCGCAAACGGCGACCCGACCGGAGCTCCAGGGATGGTTGGTAGTCGAAAATAACGAAAAAGCGCTGCAGGGAGAGGACCAGAGGACCGGAAAGCACTCTCCACCACTTGTAAGGCATCATATTTGCTGCAAGACACTTCTTTTACTAGCCGAGCCTCTGCCCCACAACACAGGTCAGACTGATGATGATGAGTATGTACATATGGCAAGATGACGTGCATGAATAATGCTCACAATATTTATTATTACACATGCCGAACGCTAATATGCAGCTAGTATACAAGCTGTATAGTAGAATCATTGGCGTAAATAATGGGGAGGGGGAAGGGTCAAGGGAATCGGGACTTTTCTTGTGTTCAGGCTGGGAAAAACAGCCCCTGCAAGTGTCACCCTTGAGATTTGGCTTTGAGTTACAGTTAAGCATAGCACAATCATCTTTTTCAAAGGCTTTTTATCTTTTACTGCGTACCTGTGTTAAATGCCCCTCAGCTGTGTGAACAATGAAAATTGAAAAAAGGTGAAAAAAAAAAGAGACTGAATATATCAATGCAATTGTTTGAGCTCGGACCCCATGCTCGTTTTTAAAAATTTTATTTGAAAGCATGATTTAATTCTTATATAAATAAAATACATCCCATATTAAAATATGAATTGGATACCATGGCCTGATATGTGTCACCCCTTGAGATTTTTTTTGAATTTATGCCACTGAGTAGCATAGGTTGATGGTGTATACAGCTTGCTTTTGGTTTTGCTTAGGCTCACGGGATGGTCCCATGGCTCAACATAATTCTAAAAAGAATTAAGTTGAACACCATTTTAGAGCAGGTTTGAAGCAGTTACTAGCAAATATTCCACTTTGGAGCAGCATGGGGTCGCATTTCTCTTTTGGAGCAGTTTCGACCAATTGGAGCAGCACTTCACTGATTCATTAAATCTGGGTTCAGCTGTATTTTTGACTTATTGTGAGTCAAATGACTGGCAGTGTAGACGTGGCCTGCCCTTTGCCACCACTCAGGGCAGCTATACATTTGACCCACATGAGCAATGGACAAAGCCATTGCGTACCTACTATGAAGGCAGTTTATGCAACTTGCATATAGCATTTCAGATTAGTTTTTAGAAAACAACGTTCTTCTTATGCGTTTTCAATTTTTAAAGAAATTTTACACAGTCCGAGCATTCATTTACAAGTGCTACAAACACTCTACATAATGATATGAAAATATTTGTAGCCTGAAATTTAAATGTTGCGTCATGCATTGAATGTTGACGTGCACTTGTGAATAAGTGAAGATAAGATTTGTTGTGTACACAAACAAAGGCACCATCGATCATAAATTTTTAATTAGTAGCACAATAAATTACCACCTTAAGTTAAGAATGATAAAGAACAGCACAAGACTGAGTTCTGACCATCAACACGCATGGAAAGGCTTTGATAAGCACATTTAATACAACCATCACAGTGTCGTTCATTTTTTTAATGTTGCAATAAGACGACTAGGGCATTTTCCAAACAACATCGAATGATGGGCAACACTGAGACATAAATTGCAAGAACTCTGGACAATCTGCTGTTCTGATAGCAAAAGAAGGACGGCGGTGACTGATGAGACATTGCACGCACACACACACTTCTCGAGAGAATTAGTGGCATTTGCCTGGCACGTAGTGAGCAAGACACCTCGAGAGGTCTCTCTGAATGTCTCGCAAGGTATGGAGAGTGAGAAGAGAACCTAGGAACTGTCGCTGATGGAAGTGTCTCACAATATTGAAGAATTAGCAAACTGGAAGGAGGGCAGCACTGACAGCTGCTGAGCATTGCTTTGTAACCACAGAACACCTTCGGTGAAACACGTGCCGTATTCTGGAGAAACACACAGGCACAACGCAGGCACATACCATCACTGATTCGCGTAGTAAACAGCGTACATGTGAAAAATAATGTGTTCAGCTATGTACATGCTATCACGCACAAGCACTGGGGCACGCTACTCCGATATTGCCGAAGGCGTCAGCAGTCCGTGCTGAGATGTGCCGACGGCTGGCAGGGGTGCTTTGTCACGGTCGGCCGGCCGTCGACAAGCTGAAGCCTGCATTTGACGCGGTTGCCTTCAAAGACCGCCATTACGAGCGCCGGATCGGCAGAGGCGAGCTCCGCGGCGGGCTCGGTCCGCTCATGGAAGGCATGCCGGATGAGCGGCCTTCGGTCGCAGCCAAGCATGCTGGAAGAGCCGGACTGGCTGACGTCCGAGCGGCTCCGCGAGTGGTGCTCTTCTTCGGGGTGGCCCTCAAAGCCCCGTGCCGAAAGAGACTCGTCTGGGTCGATGGTCTCGTAAATGTGGTCCAGGTACACGTCTGGGTTGCGGTAGTGGCCATACGGCGGTGGATGCGGCTCGTTGCCGTCGCAGTCATCCGCCATGAAGCCCAACTCGCCGTCGCAGCCACTCGGCCGCGGAAGAACCAGGATGGCGCCACGTGCTCGTGGAGTGGTGCGCGTGTCCAGAGGTATTCTTGTAGATGGATGACCTCCTTCGACGATGGCAGGGTGAACAGGCACAAGTGTGAAAGAATGTCAGAACATCGAGTTTCTAAATGTGTTCGCAGCGTGCAATAAATAACCCACACTCAAAACAATATGGAAATGCATTCGAGAAAAAGAGCTAGCATTAACACCATAATATACGAAGGATAGGTGACACATCGGATCGGAGGAACATTGGGGCAGCTGCGTCAAAAAGTTGTTCACAGTTGCCCTCCCTTTACGAGACCGCACTAAGTGCATAGCGGCTGGTATAACAAGTGTAATACTGCTGGGCGCCACGTCACAATGTCCGTGATGCCCCATTTCATGCAGAAAGATCTTTATTAGTGTTTTGTGAAACTATGACGCCGATATTGGTATGAACTGTACGTGTACGCTTAGTTATTGGCGGCCTCTGTCCGCATAGCGCCATCTGCGAGTGAATACGTGAATCCAAACAAAGTCTCCCGACATTTTTGATCACGTTGTGTCACCTCTCAACTTTAACTTCAACTTTATGATTTCTTCTATAGACTAGAAATGTCCTTCTTCCTACACTGTGGTTAACACCGAAGGAAGCCTTCTTTTCAGTGGGAGTGGTATGCTGAAGCAGTGGCCAGGGCAGCAAGTACTTGGGAGGGGGTCGAGTGAAGTGCTCACCTACTGCTGTGAGGGCACTTGACTTTTAGCTATTATGTTACTCTCATTACACCATACGGTGAAGTAGTGCACTTCGGAGACTAAAAGAAAATTACACTGGCTACACTCGCAACAAAAATTTTTTTAGAAAAAAACATTTCATATATATGCACCAATGCACCCCTGGGTGACTAAGAAATCAATTAATGATGAAAGTATACTTATCAAACAACACATTTTTTTCACACTCAAGTGATATGACGATCTAGGCATGTGTGTTTTTATTCAAAGACACTGTACATACTGATGATATCAAAGCGGAGATATGTGCAGCTTATACTACACTTAAAGAACAATGCACATTTGACTAATTCTGTTTGAAATGCACATAAGTTTCCATTAGAACATCCAGCAACTGTATTTTGTTTTATAAGCTGCACATGCCTTGTTTTGATTGCATGAGTGTGCGCGTAAGTTTGTTTTTGGATAGGCATACATAAGGTACAATGATTGTTAGTTCACATTTTAAACATGCCTATAGATCGACATGCGATTTCAATGCGCAAAAAATTCGTTATTTGATCTGTATGCTTTGATTGTTAATTCATTTCAGTGTCACTTGTGGGTGCAAATATACGAAGCATCTTTCTGAATAAAATTCAATCGCAAGTGTAGCCAGTGTCGTATACTTCTTGTCTCTTTTAATAGAAGTACTTCACCGCACAGTGTAACGATTAATCACTAACTAGCCCAGCCCTAAACCTTATTGAACTTCATTATTGTGTTACTGATAATAAAGGCTATGAAAAGTTGTACGCCACTGTAAGGTTATACTGCAGTTATTCGCAGCACTAAGCATATGTTTGTACATGGTGTTGTACAGCCCAGTGCTAGCTGAATGCATGATTGTTCTATTTCATTCACCTTGAGTGTGCTTTTTGTCCTTTTTGCGCAATAAGTTGTTGTTAGCTAGATCTAACAAAATGCCTGATAAAATAGCAGTCAATCACTGAGGACCATGGCTAAAAATCTAACAACCGTCACTGAACGTACGTAGCTCTAACGAATGCACTAATATTTTGGCATTCTCGCTCAACCATGCATGAGAATGCTTTTGTTCTCATTCTCCTTTGCAACATCATTTTTCTTCTGCTTGTACAATTAAAGGTACACCAACACAAGCACATGGTTTTGCTGTTTTTTGGCTTGTGCTGGTGCTATCACCGCCTCTAAAGTCGTTTGTGCCTCATGGCGCACACTGCGGATAAGCCGCACTTAGGGTTAGGTAGCGCAGGGTTCACCATCATTTGAATAACGCCAGCAGTGACTCCTGGCTGGGCTGCGGCACATGAGACATAAGAGGCTCTTTTTTCGCGCGTGGCGGGTGGGGCGAGTGGTTGTCTCCGGTGCGAGTCCACAAGGACGGAACCGCGGTTCGTCTCCTGTGGGCCCTTGTGGTGAGTTGAGTGTTGGCGGCGCTGCCTTCATATTACCTTGTGTTTTGTTATGCTGACTGAGTGCAATGGAATGCTGTATAAGGCTGTGTTTAGCGTGTTGATCACTTGTAATGTATTTGATCTGGCTGATAATATTGTCATTGTAAATGTAGTTCAATAAATTTGCTGTTTGGTTTAATCTGACTGCATCGACTGTGTTCGTTTGTTCCGAGAGCGGCATTCTCCTTTCTAGACCCCACAAGCTACAGTCATAACATGACACATTGCTTGTGGGACAGATAGTTCTTCACAGTCTGTTTATTACTGACCAGTCTCAACTTCGGTTTGGAAAAGCTTCGAAAATGAAAAGCCTCCAGGTGCAATGAATGCCACCCGGCGTGTGCTAGGTGGTAAAAAAACTTGGCATGTGAGCACACACACAGCATTGCCTGCATCATCTGCTTGGCTTCTTTTGCCTGCTGCACATGCAGCATGATGCTGTTACTGCCATTGTCATTAGTAGAGACTGGATTATAGGCAAATGCCTATTTGTTCCATGCATTCCTATTATGCCACTTTGAAATATAAGCAAAGCCTTTATAGTGCTTTTATAGTTTCTAAACCCAGACAACACTCGATGTCCTGAGGTCGTCCTCATATGGTACAATCGTCCTCGCACAGTTATCATTGACCTTAGTACTTACTGAGAACGACACAAGCTGGTTTGCCCCGGAAACGTCTTTTCGAGTGCTTTCTTAGGACAACGATTGGTCAGGAAAAGGTCCTGTTAAGGATCTTTTGGGGATGACAAAAGCATTGCACTGAGCACTTGGATATAATTCCTGAAGACTTTTGCACACCAAGTAGATGCATTTCATACGTGAAAACTTTCTCCACAAGTTTGTTTCTTACAGTCATAAAGTTATTGCATATTTTCGCCTCGTTTTTTTTTTTGCAGAAAATTTTCAAATTATGCGTCGCGTTTAATGAGACGCACGTAATCAATTGACTTAGGTATCGAACCTGGTATTGTGAAATGTCCATTTGAAACGGTGAGTTCTTAAATGTCACAGCCCTAAATTAGTCATTATACGTCGCTGTAGCGCGTAGTAACAAACTAGCAGCTGGCAACCATTGACTATGCGGCACCATTCTAGATAGTCAAGTAGCCAAGCCATTCCAAGCCAACTGACTGTCAAAATGGCAGCGGCGGTCTTGTCAGGAAAAGTGCAGTGAACTAGTGAAGGTTCATGTCCTTTGTTGTTTGTGTGCATGGTTAAAAGTGAGATATGTGTGAGAGTGTAAGTCGTAGGTGATGACGGTAGGTAAATTACCGTGTAGATGGGTGCACTGGGCTGCTCAACATTCAGACTGATCATGGATGCATTGTCACCAGCCTACCGCGGCGAGGTGTGGTTCGAAGCAGCCTGGAAGAACAGCCAAACGCGATCAATTGGGCTTCGAAGCAGCCTGGTCCCAACGTAAAAGGATCGACTTCTGCATCTGACACCTGGCCCGACCTCGGGCAAGTCAAGTCAACGCCCGTGTCGAGTGTACTGATAGGCTGTCATGCGGAGCCTCTAGCACTAGTGAGTGCATTGGGCGCGATACACGTGGCGATGAGGACACTGTGTCAAATTTTCGAAGAATATTATAAACGTAGTCGAATGAGCTGTGTTGACTGCCTTGATACTGCTTTTCTTTTTTCAAACTATACGCGGACTCGAATGCCTGACAAAGCTGTCTATTGTGATTAATTACTGTTAAATAAATAAATTTGTCAACAAGCTTTCTTTGTTTTACTCTAATAGTCCAGCACTGTCACCTCTCTGTTGATCGATACAGTATATATACTCGAGACCTCGCAGGTGTTTTTCTTTTGATGTATGAAAATGTCATGAAAAGAAGTGAATCCTAAGTAGTATCACTGCCCACAGTACCGAACCGGCCACGCTATCGTTGTTCTGAAAAGATACTGAAAAACTGAAAAAGTCCTGAATTGTTGTTTTGAGGATGTGCTGAGGTTGTTATGTGTATGGACAAGGGGACGGGATTAGTGCCTTTCTAGTACCATAAGAGGACATTCTGAGGGCGTCATATTGTCCTCACGGAGGCATACTGAGGATGTCCTGAGGTTGTGTTTGTGTTGTCTGGAAAGATGCCTATTTTTGACAAGATGGATAACTGGGTTAGTCGGTGAAAATTCATCGTGGTTTACAGTGATAAACACCCGGACAGAAACTAAAAAATTATTTTTGACCTCTGTGCCTAAATTCCAATAAGCGCCTATAGATGCATATTTTCAAAATCGGTGCCTGTATGAACATTATTTAGCCTCAAATTTTGCTCTCAAGAGCAGTTGGAGACAAGTGTTACCTAGCAAAATGAGCCTTCAAGACTTTATGTGGTGCAACCTATACTCCATCTTAGAAGTTCCTTTCAGCACTGAGAAGGCTAAAAGGCCCCTTAGTCAATAGAAAGGCTGATTAGCCTCTACACGTGTATTCGTCCGCGTCGTGTCGTCTGCTCAGCATTTCCTGGGCATCTGCTAGCACATATAGAAAACGGGAGGAGCTTTTGTGGGGCAGCAGGACGATGAAGAACGAATGCGAAACCATGAAGTGTCATCAGGGGAAAGCAGAGTGGAGAGAAAAAAAAAAAAACTTGGACGCCCAAGTGGTTCTGTTTTTGTTTGTCATTTACTTATTGAAGGGTGTTTCACCAGGTCACATGAGAACCTTTAGTTTGACACTGGAAGTTGTCCCAATGAAAACCTTTATACCACAAGAACTCTATAATTAGTTTATTAGGAGCCGCAAAAGCATGATGCGAGGAGGTGGCTTGAAACCTTTGCCACTCACCCGGTGCAGACTTCGCAAGCTTTTGCCCTGTTCGATATTGGAGCAACTCGGAGCCGGAAGATCATATGACAC